GAACTAGAAATTGTGGCATCTCTTTAACCCACAGCCCTAAGTCAAGGCTTATCAAAAGTCTGAGTTTAGAAAAGAAGAAATTAAAGTGTCTTTTTTTTTTTCCTGAAGTCAGAATCTAACTCCTTTTTCTTTTAGGTTCTACTTTACAGTAGATTTTGTTGCTGGATTTGAATTTTGCTTTCATAATGCGGAACCCAGAGAAGAAATTCTAATAAGGATCTCACCAATGCAAACTACAGTTAGATGACTATCTCACGGTTTTGCTAGATGCATTAATTTACCTGTTTGCAATTGTGCTAGGAGATAGGGATGTCAGTCTCTTCTTATCTAAAAAGGAGTAAAAGTCCAATAAGACTGCTGCCATGGAAAGGAGAGCACTTGGGAAAACTGCCTCCTAATTTTTAAGTAAACTACTTGTTTTGATTTGTGCTTAGTGGACCACTGCATCTTGTCATTAGTAGCTGAATGCTCAACTTCAATAATCAGACCTGATTCTCTGGTTAAATTAAACTGAAGTCCCATTAATGAAAGTAACATCATCAGATCCCACAGTCCTCTGCAGACCGACAGTCATTTTAGCTCGTGTGCACTGGGAATTGACAAAGTGAACAGTGCACAAAAGTGAACAGCGCGAATGTGTGGTAACACTGGCTTTTTGAAAAAACAATTATTTTATGAATTTCATTAAATGCTCTTGATCAAGTTATATGACATTCAATAACATGCACTCTAAAATAATTAGAAGTTTCAAGCTTTCCTTTTTCGCATAGGTGAACACGCTAGAAAGCATCCATAGGAAGCAGCTACTTGTTTCTGTAGCGGCTTCTCTGGGGTCTCTCAATATGTACATTTATAATAAATTTCACAATTTACATGCGTACTGTACAACCAATTACAAAAGCACACAGTCATTTGCTCATGCAATTTAAATCTCATCACGGGGAGTCTTTTTTTAGCAAGACAAAAACAAATAGCTCAAATGAAGAAATATCTCCTGGCTTTTCCATAATTAAAAAGTCTGTCCTAGGGCGTTATTCATTAGCTACACCTTTCAAATAAAGTATCTTAGACAGAGAACAATTATTATTATTATATTCATCTGTAGTAAGTTTCAAAGCCCACAAATGTGAAAATTAGCAATTGAAAAGTATTTGTAAAAAGAGAAACACAAAGTTCAATGTATGTTCATATAATCTTAACTGCCATACATGTGCAATGAGATTTACTTAAGAGGAACAATCATAAACCTTGTGGTTATAAATGAATATAAATATGATCTGATTTCACAGGGCAGAAGAAATATGCTATTAGCTGGTGATTACTAACTTTCTATATATATGATTCAAGTTGACTATTATGCATTGACAGCCCACTTATGGAATTTGCAAAATATATACTAATACCCTCTTCTACAAGTTGGGATCAAATATGGCCTATAAAAAAGTTTCTGCTTAATTATAATATCAAATTAATAATGCAATTAATATTTATTCAAATTCTTCTTTAATATCAGGCATTACAGGTGTCCTTGAAATTTAAATTAAAAAACGACACAAAATATCTGGATATAGACTTGCATTTTCATTTAAAGACATAATTAACTCTTAAAACATTAAGCCAGAGAGACAGAAGAAAAAAAGAGCATTTGTAATCGCAAAGAGTTATCTGCTAGGCTTTACAGCTTAGTCATTTCTGTTACTGAAATCTATCACAGCCTGCTAGATACAGACAGAGTGTTTGTTATCGAAAACACTCTTCTTACTCATTTCATTCTGTGGCGAATCTTCCATTAAGATTGAATTGGGACCCGAGGTGTTTACAGTGGCTAGGCAGTGAGATCTTTTTCATCCTTTTACATATTTTCTAAAAGTTCTTTAAGGAACATAGATTGTATATATTCTCTCTCTCTCTGTCTAAAGATGGTGTATATGATAAATACACAAATTTTCACTACTTGTGCCCTCATTGCTATCAAAAAGTCCTTCCAAAGTTGGCAATTGTGGAAGCAGGTGATAGGGACACGGAGGTTCATTATACATTCTCTCTACTTTTCTGTAAGTTTGAAAATTTCCTAATAAAGAGTTTAAAAATGGAGTAACTATTTACACATAGTCCTCTGAAAAGGTTTATACTGAAAAAGTTACAAAATAGATCCCAATTCTCTGGGAATATACAATTTAGGACACGTAATGCTGATGAGGATTGATATATAGAAGACACACCAAGAATAAATGGATAGAAGACAAATGGAGAGAGTAACACTGAGTCCACTTTTCAACTCATTCATTCCATCATCGCTATCTCCTTTCTCCTGTTTCTTCTTGACCTCCCTCCAACTCCAACCTCTCGCTCTTCCCCATCTGTCACCTGAGAATCAACAAGTCCCGTCAGTTCTCCCCTGCAGCTTCTCTCAGGGTCATCACTTTCCACTTTCACAGCCACTGGTCCTTTTATGCCTAGATTGCTGCAAAGATGTCTTACTTGTAAACCTTAACCTCTAGTTTCACTTGACTTAAAAATTCATCTTGAATCCTGATGTCAGATTCAACTTCCTAAAAAAGAAGTTCTCTTTCTTCTACTTTAGGAACATGAGGCATACTCTTCCCGTATTATTCCAACACAGCCTTTCTGCCTACTGAGGCCATTCCTCTTATTAATCCCTCAGTAAACTCATCCATGCATTTTGCTGTCTCCTTGCCTTTGCGCAGTCTTCTGAACCATCTTACACTTCCATATACCTTATATGTATTTATTATAAATACTTATACAAGTATTTATCGAATACTTTGAAGATCTACTTCTTCCTCCATAAATGTCCTCCATTTCACCTTCCCCTGAATTACTTCAGTGTTTATGAGTGTCATCTGAACCACAGGACTCTTGTAGGGAGAAGTGATCCAGTGGTTCTCAACCCTGGCTGCACATTAGAATCGCTGAGGCAGTTAAAAAAAAAATCCATCCCAGGTCAATTAAATCAGAATCTCTGGGAGTGAAGTATAGACATTAGGAAAAAAAAATTTTTTTAATGTCAGTTATTTTTAAAATGTCCCAGGTGATTCTAACATAGGAGGTTGAGAACTACTCATCTAAATAATATCAGGTTTCTTGACTTATAAGTACTATTCCTTCATTTGGTCAATAGCTATGGGTGTCTATTACAGAGGTAGAAAACTGGCAGCTGTGGCATGTTTTGTTTGGCCTATAGAGTGCTTTCCAAAAACTTCAGACTTCAGACTATATATATAAATATATATATATTAAATCT